CGACCATTTCTGGCCGGCAACTTTCAGCATCATTAAGCCGCTGCACCACCGCGTCCCCTTATTACGTTACTGACAAATAATATAAATGTCACATTTTGGTTTATGTTGCTGTTTTTTATTTATTGCATTTATTATTTATTTATTCCTGTTGTTTTTTTTGTTAAACATTGGCTTTATCATTTACTGACGTATGATTTTATTATTGTTTATTTCTGGAATTTACTCCCCCCTCTACAAAGGACTGACTTATTTTTTTTTTAAAGGGACATCTTTTTTAGCCCATTTTGCAACTGCTCTGGCCAAGCTTCTGTTGCCTCCAGGTACACTCAACAAGCAGAAAAGGAAATTAATACATGTGCAGAGAGTGATCCGGTTACCTGCTCTTTCAATTCAACAGACATGAAAGCAGCAGACTTAAATTCCCTGGATTCTTTTCCTCCTTTGCTCTGAGCCCCGCTACATTTTGGAGTACAGGGTGTGGCACGCTACTCAAAGCTGTTGGAGAGCACAGGTAGTCCTCGACTTATGACCCCAATTGGGACCAGAACTTCTGTTGCTAAGCAGTGCAGTCTTTAAGTGAGTCATGCCCAATTTTATGACCTTTTTTGCCACATTTAAGCGAATCACCGTGGTCATTAAATGAATCACACAGTCGTTAAGCAAATCCGGCTTCCCCCATTGACTTTGCTTGTTGGAAACCCCCTAGGAAGGTTGCAAAGGGCATTCACATGACCCCAGATGCTGCAACTGTTGTAAATACATGCTAGTTGCCAAGCACCCAAATTTGATCACACGACCGCAGGTACACTGTGACAGTTGTAAGTGTGAGGACTGGTTGTAAGTCATTTTTTTCAGCGCTGTTGTAACTTGGACAGTTGTTAAACAAATGGTTGTAAGTCAAGGACTACCTGTATGTTGGTTTGCAAACAAGATGCAGCTGGGCGACATTGATATAAACATTTGGACAGAACAAATGAATCCTCTAACTCAGTGCTTCTCAACCTTGGCAACTTGAAGATGTGTGGACTTCAACTCCAAGAATCCTCTAGAATCCCCCCGTTCTCACAGACAGGAGAGTTTTAAGGTGTCTTGCCCACCAGCTGCAACTGTGCCTTCCCCCCTGACATCCCCTTGTCTCTTTCCTAGGCTCACATGCAAGCCCGCTTTGTCATTTTAAGAGTGCTGCTGGAGGCTGGCGAGGGTCTGGTGTCCCTGCACCACACCACAGGGACAGATGGCAAGCCTGACGCGGTCGTCTTGCTGGACCGCACCAAGATCGCCACAGTGGGAAAACCGGCTCTGGAACGTTTCCTCCGGAAGCTGCAGGTAAGCGGAGGTGTCAGCCCTTTGAGGTGGACCAGACTTGGAAGCCAAAGTTATGAATACTAAAAACACTTTTATTATAGGGTTAGAGCAGTGTTTCTCAACCTTGGCAATTTTAAGATGTGTGGACTTCAACTCCCAGGATTCCCAGGCTGGCTGGGGAATCCTGGGAGTTGAAGTCCACGCATCTTAAAATTGCCAAGGTTGAGAAACACTGGGTTAGAGTAACAGAATCTTGCAAGTCTGAAAGCCCTTCCCGCCTCCCTGCAAGAGACCTAGGGAGGGTTAATCTACAAGAGACCTAGAGAGGGTCAAGTCGAGGCGCTTTCGACAAACACACAATAGAGCAAGGCACTAACAGGAACCACTCGTGATGGCTTGAAACCATGGTTTCCAACTTTGTGGCTGTGTTCTGGCCACACACATAACCCAGTTAGTGAGTTTTCTGGTTTGGTAGAAGTCCTAGAGAAAGCAAATAGGTTGAGTTTAAGAACATGTAGACTTTTCAAATATAGATAACAGACTCCTATCCGGAGTCTTAGTATCAGGAAGATAAATTTCTTTCCATTTACATATACGATTTATCTCTTTTGCTGAGCCCCCAGGCTGGGAGAGCCAGAGTTCTTCACCGAATGATCAATTCCCTATTTTAGGAATCCAGTTTAAGATCACATTCAGAAGAAGCCTGGCAGGAGAAACGAGGGTCAATTTCGAACCGATTAAAAGTTGCGCGCCGTTGTAACTTGAGCGAGAGTTTGCCCATCTTTGTAGGTGCTGAAATCCACCGCAGACGTCGAAGGGGGACGGAAACTTTACGAAGCCTATTCGACGGTGACGGATGACAAACCGGAACGCTTCCTAAGCCTGCGGGAGACAGTGCTGTTGCGCAAGGAAGCGCGGAAGCTGTTTGTGCAAGCCAACACCCGGCTGGAGGGTAAGAACGCCGGGACCGTTAACCTGGTTTATGGGCTTCTCAGTTGTGCAACTGCCCCGATTTCCCTTGAACTTAAAATGCAAAGTGCTTCCCAGGATGTGCCGGGGATTTCTTTGATCCTGTCAAGGAATCGAGAGCCGACCTTGGGGAGGGATCAAAGGAGGGACTTGAGGGAAGAGGTTGCCCAGTCCAGAATTGGAACAAAACAGGAAAAAGAAACTCGAAAGAATTCCATCCTGCTTTTGTTAAGGATAGAGAGCAACTTGGTCGTGCTTTCACG